CGCAGAGTCGGTGGCCAGCGGCTGACCTGGCCCACACGTGCACCGTGTGTCAGGTCTCTGCTCCCCACCTCCTTCCCACTCCCCTGGTGATAATTTGGGGGTGAGGACAATGGGGTCTCTTGCTCACCCCCCACCAGCGCCGGCAGCAGGCAGAGGATCCAGGGTCCCCTCCAGCGTGGCTCCATGGTGCCATGTCCGGGCTGCACTCACTGCTTCGATCTCCTCTCCAGTTACCCCTATGCAATTAGGCCCGGCCCAGATTAACCATTAATTATTGATTATTAAATAAAAGAGGCAGCAGGTGCAGGGAAACCCAACCCTGCTGCAATCAGGGCTGAGACTGGGTGTGCTCGCTGCAGGGATGGCACCATCCCCTCCACTTGCCCTGCCACAGGGGGAGAATTTATCCCCAAGCATCAACCCCCCCTACCAGCCCCCATTTATTTTTTTGGCTTAAACTGGGGAAAATAGAGTGTGGCCGCAGAAAAGACAGTTTGGGGGTGGCAGGACCAGCGGGGTTTGATATTTCATCTCCTGCTCTCCAGCCCATCAAACATTCATGGGGGGTGGCCAGGCTGTAACACAACGCCAGGGGGATTTTGGGGTGTGGATGGCAGGCGGTGGACTAGGACACTGAAGCCCATTGTATCCCATTCCTAAAGGTGGGAAAGGGCTCTGTTGGTGGTGGGGTGGGCTTTGCTACCCCCTTCCAGTGGCATTTTTCTGCCTGTAAAGTTTGGGAAAAAAGCAGGAAAAGCTGAAGTGAGGGGAATGACCAAGACTGTGACCTAATAAACCTCCTTCTCCAAGTAAAATCGGTGAGAAATTCCAACAGGAGTCTCCCTGGTAACAAGAAATAATTCTTTTTTATTGGACACAAGCTGGGTGACAGCCAAGGGACAAACCCCCCAGGGACAAACATGCCCTTGGCTGGGGACACAGAGCTCCCTGACGCTCCAACCTCTCCCCCCCCATCACCCTCAAACACTCACATTCCCGGTTCCGAAGGGATGAGGGACAGGATTTGGGATAGCAGCAGTGGATTCCTGAACTGCTGCCATCTAGTGAGCCTAGCTCCTTCCTTTTTAGTAACTCCTTTCTCCTGAATTTTTTTTACTCATGAAAGTTTTCTCCCAGTTTTTGCTGGGAGAAGCTCTGCCTGCTGCCACCTGGAGATTTTTTGGGGCCGGTTACCGCATTTTACCTGTTTCTGCCCCATTTTTGAGGAGCATTATCCCGTGGCCAAGGGTGATTCCTCCAGTCATGGCTACGAAAACCTCAGAGAGAAAACACTGAAAAAAACCAAGGGATTTTCCCCTCCTACCTTCTCCTAAAATATCACAACAAACCCAAACAGCTTTAGGAAGTTATGAGAACTGGGAGATTTTCCCCTGTAACGTAGGTTTTCCTTCCCTTTTTAAACCAAAACTTGGCTCAGGGGGAGCAAAACCCCACCCCCTGCTCCTCACTCAGCTTTGAAGCTTCTCAATCTCATCCATGTCGTCTGGATCCAGCTGCTTGATCCTGGTTTCTGTGGGAAGGAAATAAAAAATGGCCAATAAACCAGGTGAAACCTAGCCTGGAAGCACTTGGTGCAGGATTTACACTTCCAGCTGGGAAAATTCCCCATGGGAACTGGATGCAAGGAAGCAAGAGGCGCCCAAGCAAGCAGCAACAGGATATCCAGACATGTTCCTGCTCCCTGCTCCCACCTCCCCGGGGACCCAGGACAGGTAAGGTTTGTTACCTTCTGACTGAAACTTTATAAAGAAACAGTCAGAGAGTCCATCTGCTTGGATTTCCATCCCCTTTTGGGCTCCTCTGGGGGGAGGAAAAGCCCAACAGGATCCATTTGCAGATGTAAAACAAGCCAGAGAGAGATCATAGAATTGTTAAAGTTGGAAAGGACCTTAAAGATCATCTAGTTCCAATGCCCCTGCTATGAGCAGGGAAACCTACCACTAGACCAGGTTGCACAAAACCTCGTCCAACCTGCCCTTAAACATCTCCAGGGATGGGGAATCAAAAACCTCCATGGGCAATCTATTCCAGTGTCTCGCCACCCTGATAGTGAAGAATTTCTTCCTAATATCTAACCTAAATCTCCCCTCTTTCACTTTAAAGCTATTACCTCTTGTCCTATTGCAATCTTCTCTAATGAAAAGCCCCTCCCCAGCTTTCCTGGAGCCCCTTCAGGAACTGGAAGGTGCTCTAAGGTCTCCCTGGAGCCTTCGCTTCTCCAGGCTGAACAGCCCCAGCTCCCTCAGCCTGTCTTCATAGCAGAGCTACTCCAGTCCCTGGATCCTCTTTGTGGCCCTTCTCTGGAGCCCCTCCAGATCACTGGATCTGGATCCATGAGATCTGGATCACCAGTACAAACCTACCTCTCAGAGAGGCAGACCCACACAAATACTCACGGAAATGCTCCTCAATCATGCGTACGAGCCGCACGTCCTGGCTCTCCACCATGCTGAAGGCGATGCCATCCTTCCCGAAGCGGCCTGTGCGCCCGATGCGGTGCAGGTAGGTCTCGAAATCCGGCTTCTTCCTCTCGTTGATGGGGAGGCTGAAGTTCACCACGATGGTCACCTGCTGCACATCAATCCCTGGAGGCAAAAAAAAGAAGGGATCCCTGCGGATTGGGAAGAATCCTGAACTGGAGGCCAGAAGGAGGAAACATGTTCCGTGCCCTGGGAAAGGCACTGGGCTTCCTGGCGCTACCTCTGGCGCAGACGTTGGTGGCAATGAGGACCTTCTCCCGGCCCTGCCGGAAGTGCTGGATGACATTGGCGCGCTGGGTCACCGTCAGCTCTGCTGTCAGGATGCCAACCTGGTGTCCGTCCTGGCTCATCTGCAGCGCCAGCCAGTCCGCACTCCGCCGTGTCTGGAGGTGCAGGGAGAGGTGGGAGGAGGCAGCTCCGCAGCTCCGATCACTCCCAGCCAACCCTTTGCTCCTATTTTCCATATTCCCAAATCCCCCTGTGCCTTTCCCAGCACTTTTTAACCCCTTGAAATGAAGCAAAAATGTTGCAGAGGAGGGTTTTGAGGAGCCACCCACATCCATGAGATTTTTACCTGGCAGAAGATGATGGCCTGGCCAATAGTGATGCCACCGTAGATGTTGCAGAGAGCTCTGTACTTCTGCTCCTGGCCTTGGCAGACGAAGAAGAACTGGCGGATGTTGCTGAGGGTGAGCTCCTCCTCACGCAGCTTGATGACGATGGGGTTGGAGATGATCCGGATGGCGAAGGCCCGCACCGTTTCCTTGAAGGTGGCAGAGAAAAGGAGCATCTGGCAGGACTCAGGTAAAGCCCTGGGGGTGGAGAAAAGAGGATGAATGAGCCTGGTGCTGAGCTATGCTCATTAGAATTCAAAAAAGCCACCCAAAATTAAAGTGGCTCTTTTCCACCCTCAAGACAAGGGGAGTCTGGCTCAAAGGCAGAGGAAACTAGATCAAAGCAGGGAAGTGGGGCACCAGCCATCAGGAATACTGGCCTCTGAACACGGATGCTTTGACAGGAGAGGCCCTGCGTGTCCATCATGATGTCAGCTTCATCCAGAACAAACAGTTGGATCTTCTTCATGTTGATGAGCCTCCTCTTGAAGCACCAGTCCAGCACCGTCCCTGGCGTCCCAATGATGATCTGCTCTTGCAGCACGGTGCCCTGCGGGACTGCGGGGGGGAATGGCAGCCATGTGCCTCAGAGACAATCACCAAATCCTTCTGGTTGGAAAAGACCTCTTAAGATCGACTCCATCCATAACCTAACTCTACCAACCATTAATCTAATTCCACCAAGTTGAACACTTAAACTAGCCTCCCAATATGATGTGTCCCTGCTGCTTCATCATCCCTTGGAGGCCCTGGAGGGGGCCAGAGCCAAGAGGAGTATGATGAAAATCACTTCTCTCCAGGCTTGAGGGGGTGAAAACCAGCCCCATGGGGGAAGGAGGGAGTCTGGAAGCAGCCAGTGGTCACCAGAAAACACTTTTTAGCAGGAGAGGGGGGATATAAAGGCCATTTTGTTGGGCATCACAGCACTCTGCGTGGCTCTGAGAGATGTAAGGTGGCTCCAGTGAGGTGTCTGGGCAGGAGGGGACCCACCTCGGTGTCCCCGGATGGCGTAGGTCACCCTGATGTCAGCGCAGAATCGCCCGATGCTCTCGATGACGTGCCCAATCTGCAGGGCCAGCTCATAGGTGGGAGCCAGGCAGAGGCACTGATGGGGGAAGAGGGGAGAGCAGTCAACACCAGGATGGAAAGTCAAGGGCATTCCCAAAGTGGGATACACAGAGGGATGGGAAGAGGAGTACAGGAAAATCCCGCCAAAGTGCAGGGGAATCAGGGCAGGGAGCAGCACATCTCAAGGGACAGTGCCAGGAAGTGGCCATTGCTGGCTCTGAGAGGGATTTGCTCCAGGGTGGCAGGTCCCTTCCCTTCCTGGCTCCACAGCCAGTTCCATCAACACCCCTGTGGTCAAGGCAGAGACAGAATGGCAAAAACTGGCTGGGGAAGCTGACCCTGTGCCCAGTGGGGATGTCTGGCCACCAGAACATCAGCAGTCTGGTTTCAAAACGTAAATTCCAAGATAGCCAAAGCATGGCTTAGCCCGCTGCTAGCAAGGAAAAGCACCTCCCAACAGCAGGCATGACGTTTTCCATCCAACATGCTACTGCCATGGGGCTTTACTGGCCCCCTCCAGCGGGTAAAATGGGAGGCAGGGACAAAAAAACAAGGCTCTGCCTCCCAGGCAGTGTCTCCAGGGCTCAAGGCAACCCCCTCCTGCCCTCAGCTTTCCCCTTCCCGCGTTACCTGCGGGTATTTCTCGGTGGCATTAACTCTGCTCAGCATGGCCAAGACAAAAGCTGCTGTTTTCCCTGTCCCTGACTGGCTCTGGGCAATCAGATTTTGGGGCCTGCAAAGGCAAAGGCAGCTTAGCAGGGCAGCAAGGGGGGGATCTGGGCATCCCGGGATGCCTCTAGGGAGCTGGAAACTACTCACGGATAGGCCAGCATGATGGGCAGAGCCGTCTCCTGGATTTTGGATGGTCGGTTGAAGCCCATCATGTAAATCCCCTGCAAAAGCTCCTTTTTCCTGTAAAAAAACACCCCAGGAACCAGCGTGAGAAGGGGCGGGTTTGGCACAGGCCGCGGCCGCGGGCCACTCACAGGGGCAGCTCCTCAAAGGTCTTGGCAGAGAAGAGGGGGGAGCTGGGGTCCCGCTGCAGAATCTCCACGCGGTGGCTGGACTCCACCAGAGAGGT